CCAGGATGCTTAACTTGCCAGAGCACAAGAAGGCCCCTGGGGTCAGAGGAAGTCACCAGGGTTATCTTGGTTGGACAAAGGTTTATTGGGGTGTCCAACTCAGCACCTTCATTTTCAGACAGCTGGGTGGGAAATGAGCGGCCTTTGTTGGGTGAGACATAAAAACCTTCGTGTCTCTTGGAGGTGAAGGCTTGAAGGAGCCTTTGGAGAAGGCATTTTGACTCGTGAGTCACTGCTCTTGCAGGGGTTTGTCTTTCACTGCCTGCTTAGTGAAGCGTGGTTAACAGCACCTTTCCCCTCCCCTGGAGCATTCGGCCACTTGCAGGTTGGTTGTTGGCTGAGTATGAACCAAGACATCCCCGCAGAGGAGCGCAGCTTTTGAGCTTTACACTGCGGCGTAGCCTTGAGGACAGGTAGGGCCCGGGAAGTGGCTTCATTTCTCACCCTCCCGAGCAGTTCTGGGGTTCTCCAAGCCTTAACAGACCTACATGAAATCCAGCTGCTCGTGTAGCACATCCAATAGAGCTCAGCACCCAAGGGAGAGCGCTGCAAAGCGGTTTCTCCTTCCTGGGTTGTTTCGGGAGGAGCCTGGGTTGTGTGTGTGTAGCCACTGGGGTTTTGCCTTCTCTCCTCCCTTGTGTTCATAGCATGAAAGAGTCATACCAGCTCTCACGTGTCCCGTGGCTTTAGTGGGGTTCAGACTGTGCTCCTCGTCGTGGAAGAAGGAACTTGAACCGATGGGAGAAGTTCTCATTTTGGTACAGGATGCTGTGTCCAGGAAAGCTGTTTGGATTATTTATTGCCCTGGAAGTTATTTGGTCTTTCCCTCCCCTGCAGGATGATTTCAGACACTGGAGCTGTCCTTCAGTCACAGAGGATCCCCCCCAAAAGCACATTATCGCTCAAAAATCGGGGTTTTAGACAACAATGCTCATCACCAGAGAGAGGAAATGTCTGCTTGCTGCCTTCTTTTAGACAATTGAATTAGAACCCCCGAAGCAGCAGGAAGGGAAGTCGGAGTTTCGCTTCCTGCAAGCTGAAGATTTGCGTGGGTTCAGCGATGACAAATACATGAGCTCATGCTTAGACGGGCTCTGCATCTGCCACGCACGTGGCAAAGGTGAGCTCAAAGTCTCCCTGCTTGTTAGGACCTGAGTTTGATGTCTGTGGCAGTGACAAGCGTTTGCCTAACCCTGCCAACGGCTGCCTCCCTGCTTGGGCAATACTCTTGGCTCTGTGAAGAACTGGGGGCTTGCTGAAAGATGGGAGTGAAAAGTAACTTCCAGGGCAGGCTGGAGGTGGGGTAGCCCAGAGCTGTGCGTGCGTGTACCTGACACTGCTGTAAAACCTGGAGCCATGAGGCCTGCCTTGTTTCAGGGTGGGAAGGCTCCGATGTGTGGTGCTGGGAGCAGAGGAGCTGCCTCCAGTACTGCTTTTGCAGGGGCAGTTAGGGGGTGTTAGGGGCAGTTACCTGCTTTAGTGCTTGGGGAAGAAGAGCAGGGTTGACTCGGGTAAGGTGGTCTGGCAATGGGTTGTGCTGCTGTCATTAGACACAGCCCAGAACCATAGAATGGTTTGGGTTGGAAAGGACCTCAAGGTCATCCAGTTCCAAGCCCCTGCCATGGGTAGGGACACCTCACATTAAACCATGCCCCCCATGCTGTTTGTTTCTTCCTTATATTCCAACTGCATGTTCTTGTCCCATCCTTTGTGCTGAGAGCAGGCTCTGAGCCGGTCCTGCCACCTTCTCATCCATGACAAACCTCTGCTTTTCAGTCTGGTCAGGCCCTTTGCTCTACCTGCTTTGAGGTCACAAAGCTGCCCGTGATAATGCAAACCAGGGGCAGCTGAGGTCTGAGCTGACTTCAGTTTCCCCAGACCCATCATAGTCAGGTAAGAAGGGAGAAATCCCCTGGTGTGGAGAGAAATCCCCTTGGAGGAGGTGTCCCCCTTGTGCTGGCCTGCTGGGAAGGAAGATGGTCGGCTGTGCCCCTGTGGTGTGACACCTCTGCCCTCAGAACAGGCCTTTGGGTTCTTGTTCCATATAGAAGATGGGGGGAGAGGAAAGCAGAGCCCACTCTCAGCCACTCTGATTGCTGCAGGATGCCACCACCCTTCCTCGGCTCACACACGCTTTATTTTTAGGCTTGCCTCTCAACTCCAGCTCATTCTTTCTTAGGGTGACAAGGACTTTCCTCCCGCAGCTACCCAGGGGGCACATCAGAAACCACAGCCCTGCCTGGGGATGCTTCCCCTTCCTGCTCACGTTAACCAGTTCATTCACCAGCGAGGGATGGGAGGCAGCACCTGGAGCACGAGAAGGGAGAGGACCAACCGGTATCTGCTTTGAGATGGGTGGGAGAAGCTGCACTTAGTGAGGCCTCGTAATGATTTACTTCCCTCTCATTCCAGTTCATCTCCCTCCCAGCCCAGATCCCTTTGGCACTGAGGGCTTTTAAATGTATGTGCCTAGCTGAAGCACTCGCAGGCAAGGAAGAATGCTTAACAGCCCATGCTTTATTGGAGCTTGGGAGTGATGAAGAGGCTTTGCACAGTGACTTGGAGAAGGGATTACGGGAATGCCCTGGTGTCCACCTGGCTGTGACTAGGTGGGAGATGCCTCTCCTGCTTTTGGGTTCACTGCAGATGAATGACCCCCTCCTGTAACGAGGGCCAGGCGTTTTTAATTGACTTTTCAAAGAAGATTTAAACCTGAGATTGGTCCCAGTCCCCAGAGAAGTGAGAAAGGAAACTTCGTTCTCTGTCTTGCTGGTGAAAGGCATTAAAATGGGTTAAATCTATCCTAGAAATGCACTTTTTCTTTGGCCTGTAACTTGTTCTGTGTATATTTAGCTAGGATATTTGTGGCCTGAGGTGCAGCCTTGCACGGTTCTTGGTGGGCTGAGTTGCACTGGGTTGTAAATCCCAGTTTTCTTAACGTTCAGGAGCTTCACTGTTTGAAGGCTTGGTTCCAGGTCACCTCTGAAGGGGCCCAGGGAATTGCTGAGAGATTGGTGGCTTTCTGCACATCCCTGGTTCTGTTTCCCCTTGTGTATGCCCTGGTGCAGAGCTCCTGCTCCCGCAGGCTGCAGCTCTTGCACAGATGAGCTCCCTGCACTCGGGGCAGTTGGGGCTTCTGACCTAGCTGTAGTGAGCAAGCCCTCATGTTTATTGCAGGAGCCATGGCTTGAGGCTGTTACTGTCTGCAGTTGTATTGTGGTGTTGAGGTCTTGAGGTGCTCCTGACCACTGCTTGTACCTCTGGGCCGGATGCTGAAACTCGCCTAATACTTTCTCTCTAGGGAGAAACCATGACAGACGTGTTTAGTGAAAGCAGAAATGGTGCTTCAGTTTAGCACTCAAACGTCAAGCTGCGTGTCTTCTGGTTTGCTATGGGGCTCCTTCCTTTCTCATCCCATGGTTGCCATCAAGAGACAATGTTTTGTGAAGGATATTGATCATCCCTGTGTGCCTTGAGGCATGGCTTAGCTGGGGAGGCCAGGAGGAAAAGGTCTGTGCACATTCATCCTGCCACATAGGCCTGGTTGAGTGGCAGAGCTGGATTAGCCATGCAGCACACCACGACTACCGTGGCAGTTACTGCTTGTACCTCAGGGGTCGGTGGTGTGGCCACCAGAGCTGCCATCACTGCCTCTCCCCGCAGCAGTCTGCACAGGGATGTGGTGTTTCATTACTGATTGCCCTTTCAGTGTGAAAGTGAGCAGTAAAACATTACACCATCATTTCGCACATGAACGTTGGTCAAGTCACCTTCAGGTGTATCCAGTGGAGTTAAAGCAGTTGGGCTAAGTGTTAAAATAGAGGCTACTACTTAACCTGTTGGTGACTTGGTTACTCTATAGTGCATCAGCAGAGGAAGGAAAGCAGCTCTTTTTCTACTTAGTTTATTTTACAGGCTTTTTTTCCTGCAGGGCTGCTATGAAGCTGGGTTGGTCAGCAGGCAGCTCTTGATATCAACTATTCTCATACATATGAGATGCATCCTATGGAGGAAATACCATGGCAAACCAAAGGTACTGTTTAAAAAATGGTATAATTTATTGTCCAAATATAGCAAAATACAGTCAGTTTTCAGACCTCAGCAGGGAACTTCGAGTCAGGATCTTGGGCTGCTGTTGATGGGATTCATCTCGGGAAGTGGCAAAGTTGTTTTGTCTGTTCAATCGGCTGGCTGATAAAAACCTGAAGGGTTCTCAGTCTGTAGGAGGGGAACGGCTTTTATCAGTCAGGGGACAAGTGCACTTGCATGTTCTGCAGGTCTCCTTGCTAGAATAAGTTAGGTGGAAGTATTTTGTGGGAGAAGTTATGGTTATAGCAGTGTATTTTCAGGGTACATTCAGGTACACATTTATCTTCCTCCGTACAAAGCAGCTTTACATATACGCATATACATTGAGAATACATTGTTAATGATGAAGAAAACTAACCTGAGCCTGTATTATGGGTATTCCTTGCTCTGGCAGGGTTGTCCTTAGCCCAGGGTCTTGCCTGGGTGAGGATTATAGGAACAAACCCCGGACAACTGACTCGTCAGTGTCAGCTGTAAGCCCCATGTCAGAGGTCAGAGAAGCAGCACTTGTGCACGTGTTACATGGACATCCTACCAGCAAATGCATTGAACAGTTGGATGGGGGGCAGGCAGGTGATGAGGAGCAGAATGTGCTTTCTTCCCCATTCCCAGCTCTTGGCAACATCCCGTACCCCAGAGCCAAAGGGTTTATGAAGAAGAATGGATTTAATTGTGATGGCAGGCAGCTGTGTAACTGGCAGCCTTGTCTGAAACCCAGCTAACGGAATTCTTTCCTTGGGAGGTTGATTGTAATTCTCGTGTCTCTAAAGGAATGTTTGTCAAGCTATGATCCAGAGCGTTCCCTGCAGCGCTCCTCATGGATCTACCTGTGCTATTGAAAAAGGTACAAACGTCTTCCTCGTGGGGCTCGGTATGTCCGTGGGAACATGCCTCGTTCCCAACAAAGCTGCTGTTCTGGAGGGTGAGGCTCTGCACCCACGCCAGCAGTTCCCAGGGTGTTCGTCTGTCCTTAGGAATCTTGGCCCCTGCAGTAAAAGCACCAGCTGGCATTGCATTCTGGGCTTCTTTTCCAGGCCTTACTTTACGTGACAATAACCTGTTGTTCAGCTGCCACTTTCCTTTCAAGTGCTGACCCTGGCAGCAATCTTGAACACGTCACCGTCCTTTGCGTTGAAATCACACCAGTGAATGGCATCTTTCTGAGCAGGGGCTGTGCGACTGCCAAACACGTTTTCAATAGCTTATAAGTGAAATACATACCTGACTTCAAAGCCAGCTGCTAAAGGCCTTCTAGAAGGACACGTCGATTGGGAAGGGAGAAGAAAACCCCACGTTCCTGCTTATCTCTGGAGGTCAGCAAGCAACAGCACAGAAGGCCCCATGTGTACGTGCCCACCATGGCCCGTAAGGCCAGGTACGAGCAAGCTTCAGATACTGATAGACTGGAGCGGTTGGACCATGGGCACAACTACATCCAGAATTTGAATGTTTTGCCTTAAGAAATGCCTGGGTTTGCCCTGGGCTTGAATCTTTAAAATCCTGAGGATCCTGGCACCTGGTTATTTGGAGCCCATCGGCCTTGGGCCCTTTCAGAAGCGAAAGGAGACTTTCTTTCCGGGGTGAAGCAGCATTTCTAAAGAATTCAAGTCAATATTGGGATGGAATCACTTGTGCTCCTTAGGAGGCACCTTCTTTATAGGTGAAACACCCGATGCAGGTGGAACTGGAGTGGAATTTGTACTTTCCTTGAGAAACATAAGAGTTTCCACAATAATATATGAAGTTATTGAAATGATATCTATCATATGTATGGCTTTAGGATTAGTTATGGACATTTCTCACTTTTCATGGGGGAAGGCAGGGTGAAGATTGGTGTGCTTGGATACTTCACAGCTTACAAGCTTGGAGCCTGAGGCTGCTCGTGCTGTTCTGGCTTGAAGAGTGGATCAGTTCCACGGGCATCATTTCTGTAGGTATGGAAGAGCAATAGGCAGTCCTGTTAAAAGCAACATTCAAAGCAAGGATGATGCTCTCGGAAGTTCTTGCTTAGTTCTTGTCTGCTTCTCTTGGTATTCGTTGCTTTTAGGGAGAATGTTCTGAACATTTCTCATTTTGACTAGGAAAGACTAAAATAAAGGTGAAATGATGGGATAAGTTCTAGACTCACCAGGCTCCCTCTGCCTTGCCCTGCTGTTAGTCCCAGCTTTACTGGAGTCTCTCCATCCATGGGAGTATTGGCTAGCAGTGCTTGTTGCCTGAAGCAGGCAGAGCCTCCTGGGTTCTCCTCTTTCCTACAGTAGTGGCAGGTCTTGCTCTACCAATAGCTCAGAACAGAGGATGTGTACAGGACTACTGCAGCTCGGCCAAAGCCTGCCTGGAGCTCGGCTCATGGGGAGAACGTGGTGGTCGTCTCTGTCTCCATGGCGTAGGAGAACCTCTTGCTCTCGCGGCAGGTTGAGAGCTGCAAGAGGCGCTGCTGGCTCAGGCAGCCCAATTCCTTCAGGAGCTTGAAGAGGTCGTTGCGGAATTTGACGCCAATGAAGGCATAGAGGAAAGGGTTGAGGCAGCAGCGGAAGCAGGCCAGGGTGTAGGTCACGTCATCTGCCACGTCGAGCTGCTTGCTCTCCTCACACGAGCTGGTGTGGTTGAAGGCTGAGATGGTCTTGGCCAGCATGACACCGTTGTAGGGCAGCTGGAAGATAACAAAGACAATTACCACGGCGATGATGACTTTGATGGCTTTGTTCTTCTCAAAGTTGCGGGCCTGCAGTAATGTTTTGATGATGATGAGGTAGCAGGCAGACATGACCAGCAAGGGAAATAAGAAGCCAAAAACCATCTGGGACACTTTGATGCCGGCGTTGAAGGTCTGCAAGTCGTGAGCGATGATGGAACAATGGGGATTGTTGTCCACGTTTTTTACACCACTGTGAACCAGCTCAGGGATTGAGAGGATGAAGGCCAGGAGCCAAATGAGGGTGCATGTAACCTTGCTAATGAATATCATCCGGGGACGAAAGCGGTGGGCTGAGGCAGCCTGGACAATGGCAAAGTACCTGTCGATGCTGATGGACAGGAGGAGCAGCATCCCGCTGAAGAAACTCATTCTGCAGATGCAATACACAGCTTTGCAGGCAAACTTCCCAAAAAGCCAGTGCTTGGCTACAGTTGTGGCCCAAAAGGGGAGGGTCAGCAGGAAGAGGATGTCTGCCAGGGCCAGGTTCAGCAAATAGATGTCTGTCATGGTTTTGAGCCTCTTGAAGTAGATGTAGGTGAGCACCACCAGCCCGTTCCCCAGCAGCCCTGTGAAGCAGATGAGGGCGTACATGGCTGGGAGGAAGGCAGCGCGGAAGTTACGGACATCATCCTTCTCACACAGGACCTCGAACTCGTTGTAGTCGATGGTGGTGTTGGAGTCATAGTAATCGGTGACGTTGTTTCCAGCACAGACCTACAACGGGGGAGAAAAGGAGAGTATTGGGACAGGTACCATGCCCCTCGTGGTGTTGGGAGGGGGGCCTGGTGCTGCCCTGTGAGCAGGCAGGATTACCCAGCCACGGCCAGCAGAGAAGTCCCAGGGAGTTCCCAAGCGTTGGCTCATGCCAACACCATGAAGAGCTGGCAAGGTCTCATGGCCAAAACCACTTCCCGTAAGTACATGGGGTTTAGGGGCTTTTTTTTAGGCTCAAAGTGGGAATTCCACCCGCACTCTTTAGTGCTCAGCCACAGTGCCACCTGCAAATCTCAAACGTGTGGCTGCTTTCCAGAGTGGTTCAGGACCCACGTACAGCTCTTTGTGAAGAGCTTTTCCAAGTGTGAAAGATAACACATCCTTCAGCGTTCTCCTTCTCTCAGCAGGGACATTTCCTCTTGACTGACTACTCGTGGCATTTGCTAACCTGAGCATTCCCTCCCTTCTCCCACCTGCAATAGTCCTGTTGCTCACTCCTCACTTGTGGCAGCGCTAGAAGAAGGCTGCAGTGGTGGTGGTGGCTCCCAACAGCAGCAACCTTGCATGGGGAGGTCCCATCCCCACAGTGAGGGGTGAGCCCGGGGGTGCCTGGAGCTCCATGGGAGAATGAAGTTGGAGCCTCCCCGGGCTCTTTTCTCTGTTAAATTAATAGAGGTGTTGATGAGACTGGGAGGAAACTTGGAGTGAAGCAGGAAACTGTTACGGTGCTGGCACAGACACGTTGCCGGTGTCTCATTCAGGCTCCTGCCCCTGATTTAAGTTCTGATTAGTCTTGTTTTATCTTCCTACACTGTCTTAACACACAGGGCAGAGCGAGCCTGTGGTCTCTGTGCCCTGTTTTTTTGAGCCTTATTAGTCTCCAGCACCTTCTCTCCATCGCACAGAGATGAAAGGTTTCCCCTGGATACCTCTGCCTGTTATCACCAAGTATCTCTGCGTGCTCTCCATCTCAGGCAGGTTTGGCTTTCACCACATCCTGCCTGCTAGCTGGAGGCATGCCACCAGAAGTGAAAGGGAAAAGAAAGAGGCTGCAAAGCCCTCCCTGCTCTGCTGAGCCTCTTGGAGAGCCTGAGCTGGGGGCCGTGGTGTGGCTGAGGCTGCTCCTGTGGCTGTGAGAGCGCGAGCGCTGGGGCCAGGCTGTGGTTCAGGAGCAGGTCATGGCACAGCTCCGTGCTCTGGGTTCTCCTTCCCCCTTCACATTCACTCTGAGCGGGAACAGGCAGAAGAAGATACTGAACTCCTCCTCCTTGAGCACATCAGCTCTTCAACAGTGAATGCAGTCGCTGAAGACTGAGGTCCTCAATGCTTTGACCAGGTGCTGCAAAGAGCATCGAGCTGGCTCTTCACAAGCACTCCGCATAGGATGCTCTTGTCTTTCCTGAAAATGCTCTTTTTGGTGCTAAAGGGGACTTAGTTCTAACAGTCCCGGCCACCTCAATGGCAGTATATGTCATTGCTGCTGCTCTCTCTTTGTCTTCATTCCTCTTGTTTTCTGTCCAGCTTCTGCTCTGCTGCCTCACCGCCCACCTCCTGCTGGGCTGGAGCCGTGCTGTGAGCAGCCGTGTCCCCACACATCTTTCAGGGCTGTGGGCGGTTGCTTTGTGCCTGTCAGAGCTTTCAAGATCTCTCCCTCCCCACAACAAAAACACAACTGGATTTCAACAGTTTTTAAGCTGGTTTTAACATCTTACCTGAAAAAACAGGGGCAGGCTGAGAACAAGAGCGACCTTTAACGGCTTGCCTGTAGGAGAAGGAGACACTGTGTCAGAGTGAGCAGCTCACTGGGGCTTCCCACATGATGCTCACTTTGAAAACGCAGCCGTGGTGTACCTGACCCTGCAAAACTCCCCACGGCTGGTTAACTAACGGTGAAGATGCTCACGCGAGAACCCAGGGCCACATAGCAGGTACTGTCAGAGCACGCATGAAGCCTCAGGAGTGTGGTCCTTCCAGTTTCGCCTGTAAAGGCTGGTAGCTTGGGAGAGCAAACCCCTGCATCTTTACTGCGTGGATGTTCTTTCCCTGCAGACAGCCAGCAGCCTGGCTCCTGTGCCTGTTCTGAGCTCAGGGTGTAGCCTGCTCGACCCATGTGAAAGCACAAAGCTGGGAGTGCACTACATTTCTCCCAGCTGCTCCCTGGCAGCGCTGCACAACAGGAAAGCTCTGCTCCCATCACTGAACCTGCCTTGAAATTTATTGCTTGTGTCTAAATGTCAGAGTTGGCTTCTGCTGCCTTTGGCTGCGGAGATGGAGGATGCTGACAGCTGGGAGGAAGAGCTGAGGTCAGAGCCAGATGTGATAATGGTGAGAGCAATCTCAGACCAACAGTTCTTCCTGCTGTGGTTAGCAGAGGCATAGGGGCCAGTGAAAACTTTCTCTTCACTCTATTTAAAGCGTGTGCCAGCATCTGCCTCAGGCAGTTGTGACTGAAATGATCTGACAGCCATGAGAAAGCCTCGGCCTCTGCTCTTGCACGAGCAGGAGATGTGCTCTTCCTTGAGGGAGAGTTGCCATTGGCTGCTCTGAGCACTGAGCTGCTCATTGTAGGCTGTGTCTGTAGGCACCGGTGAGTTCCCTGCATCACAGTCACTCACTTCCCTGCTCGTTCATGATTCTGTGATTACCTGGTGCAGGATCCCTGAGCACACCTCTGCAGGAGCTGCCTTTGGTTTCCAGCTGCCCTTTTCTCCTAGGGAGTGTGGCTTTTCCATGCAGTTCTGTTTCTGCAGAGTTCCCTTACACCCTCCCCTGCTCTGCCAGGCTCATGTTCAGGTATGGTACTGGACCAGAAGGATGAACTCCCACTACTTCAGGTGACTGCAGCTGCATCCCCACTTTAAATCGCATGCAGCAGCATCGTTACTAACAGTTACTTTGGTAGCTGTGAATGGAGACACTCGTTTTGAGTGGTGATGTGTGGGTGAGAGATCCTCAGCCACGTGTGAAACACTCGTACTTCCCATGCCCAGAGCCTGGTTGTGAGCTTCCCCTTGTGTCCCTCAGAATTCTGTGCCACCTTCCCCCCTTGTTTTGATCTTTTACACTCGTGCAGCTGGCTGCTCAGTTGTGTTCCTCCATCCCTCACCTTCTCTGAGCCCTCCTGAGGGAACCCGAGTGTATCAGTGCATTGGTAGTGCATTTTACAGTCAGGAATGGAGTATGGCGAGGAGGTGGGGGGAAGCTTGGATAAATGTTCTTGTCTCTAGTCTCTGTATGCGGCCAGTGGCTTTCACCCTGAGCAGTTGCAGGCTGCAGGAAGAGGTTTGGTGAGCATCTCTCCCTTCAAGCTGATCTAACTTCTGCATATTACACACAGGAAATACACTGAAAGCCCAAATGACTTGAACCTGCTGGGTGAATTTAAGCAAGCCTAGGCTGTAACTGCCCTTCCTGCCTGGGACACAGGCATGGGGTCCCTGACCTCTGCCTCAAGAGCCAGTCCTTTGAGTCCACCCTCTCAAACACCTGATTTCCAGGGGCCTCCTGGAGCTGGTGCTTGTGTCTGCCTGGGGATGGACAATAACTGCGCCTGCTGGCCCAGGGGCTGAGGCCCCAGAGGTAAGTCACCTCCTGGCTGCTGTATAATAAGGAGGCAGAGGAGAAGAGCCGCTGACAGCCCAGGGAGGAGAGGCCCCAACCTCGGCCCCGCTCCATCAGTGCCTTGCTCTTGGCATTCCTTGAGTTGCATCCTTCTGTTATCTCTGCCCCCAGCACAGCCCCAGCCCTTCCTTAATCTGACAAGCCATGAGTGCACAGCCCTGGGGATCTGCTTGGCTTTTCTGGTCTTCTCTTTCCTAACACGCTGCGAAGTGTCAAACTGAATAGGATGCTGCAGTGACTCAAGTACTGGTCCCGGAGCAGTTCAGCTGACTCATTCCTTTGAAGAGCATCACACTCTTTTCTCTCTCAGTTGCTGTTTCAAGTGCCTTAAATGTCAAAGGACTTTTCAACAGCAAGAAGCTCATCCTGTTTCGTCCCCTCTTTCTGCACCCCCACCTCAGCTTACACATTTGCCAAGGCAGAACCAGGATGACAACGCAGCCTCCTGGTTTTCCCACAGGAATTCTTTGAGCAAGTGCCTGTGTCACCAGATTTGGGCAGACAGGACACAACTCTTAGGGGGCTGGGGCAGGGAACAGAGGCAAAGGAGCGGCAGGAAAGAGATGAGGCATGCTCTGGTGTTTAATTCTGGGTATCTTTCTTTACTTTTTGTTTCTCCTCCCTGCTCCCCTCTGGCAGTTTTCTGCTGTGGGTATTTTCCTAAAGTTTTGTTCCTCAAAATACCAAGAAGGAAAACCCCCTCAAAAGTCCCCACAAACAGTTGCACTGAAACCTCATTTATAGAAAGACCAAAAACCCATTGCAGCAAATGAGTCAGATGCATTAGAAAGCCCTACATCAGGTGCTGCAGTTCTCAAAAGGATGCTCCTGTTCTGCAGGACCTGGGAAAAGGGGGACAGGAGGATTGCTCCATGCAAATGAAAGAGGGAAGGGGTCTGCTCTGTGCTGTTGATGCAGGGCAGGGGGAGAGGAGGCAGCAACCCATCAGTTTTGAGACTCTTCCTCCATGGAGTAAGCACAAGGCGTGGGATTCATCCCTCTGAACTCAAGCCCTTGACATCTGGTTGAGGCTCCCTCGACAGCAAAGGGAAAGAACCGGGTGCTTTTGGTGTTTTAAAGTCATGGTTCAGCTGCCAGGGGGTGGGCATCAGGGTGCAGGTTCATTCCCTGCTGCGGCAGAAGGGTCAGCGAGTTTAGACAGGAGCATCCCATCCAGTTCACCTGAATCTCCCCCAGCATCAGCAGCAAATCTGAAGATAAAAGCAGCTGTAGGAGGCCATGAATCCTCTCCAGGCGTGCCCAGAGAAGTCAGAAGTATTTGGTAGCAGAAAGTCTATGCAGAGGAGAGAAGAGGAGCAGAAACAGCAGTGTAGGGTGGTTAAACGGGAGTGGAATCCTGCAGGACAGAGCCGTGGCTCAGCTCCGACCCAAGCAGGTCAGGCAGTGCGGGAGCAGAGCTGCCCCTCTCTGCTGGTGCTAGGGAATGCACGGGATGAGCAGCAGGAGTCGGGAATGCTTTAGGGAGCGTTGGTCCAGCCGAGCAAGCCTGCTCTGGTTAAACCCATCTGCTGTCGACCAGAACTGCGGAGCAAAGGTTTCAGTCTCAAGCACCTTGGCACATGTGTAGGTGGCGGGTAAGGCGCTGTTTATCTCTTGAAGCATGGTTTCAGGTGCCTGCTCACCACCAGAGCAGTGGGGTTTTGGGTGAAGAACCGTGTATTTCTGAGAACAATTAATCATACCCGGGTGCTGTAATGACTCTGCTCAGTGCCCCTTCTCCCCCCCTTTGCCCCTCTGCTCCTTAGAGCTGGCACAGGAAAGAGACCATCATTTCAGGAGTGCACAGAAGCAATGGAACAAGGTCCTGCTTTTATCATGTGCTCATACATGTGTTACAGCAGAAAACGGGTTACCTGCCACCTCCCTTTTTAGGACATTGTGACTCCAAAGACAAGATAAGCAGAGATAAGCAAGTTAAAAAGCCAATTGTGTTTCCTACATAACTGTTAACAAGAAGCAATCCTGCTATGCAGCTTCAAGAGCAGCTGTTCTGGAATATTCCCCTGAAGTATGGTAGTAGGGCAGAAATAGCAGGAAACTTGTGCTGCTTTTCTTGTCAGGTTCTCACTGATCCTTTCCTTTTCCTGCCACAATTAACCCCTGGGGTTGGGATGCTCAGGGAACCCTCCTGCATCCCAGCTGATTTCAAGCTCTGATTTAAAAATGTCCCAGAGGAAAGGCAGTGGCACCTCCCATTGCACCTCTGGAACAGAGCTTTACTGGGCTGAACTCCCATGCCTCTCACCATCCTTATTGCAGCTCTGACTGGGCTGGCTGGCATGGAGAGGTAGTGATTGTATTCTAAATCCTCTTTGGTTAGTCTGGTTATAAACCAACTTACCCACTTGAGCTATTGCATTTGTGCCTCCTCCCTGCACTCCCTGGCAACTGGGAGTAGTGTTTGCAAACATCTGAGCAATAAAAACCCACAAGCCCATAGGGGAAGGAATAAATCAGAGTCTGAGAGGCAAGAAGAGCCTGCATCTTATCTGCCCCATCTTGGCCCCACAGTGCCACCCCTTCCTATGGCCACCTACCTACCCGAGCTCCTGGAGGCTGATGCCTGCAGAGCTCTGCCTGAGAACCAGCAACAGATGGCAAAAGGAAGGGTGAAGCTTTGAGCAGGAGCCACTGCACACACCCATGCCCTGAGGGAGGTTATGCTCCAAAGAGGAGAGGAGTGCACTTGCTCTCCCCTGGTGCTTTGTGGCAGGGTGATGCAGAGGGAGAGACCCCTGAGGGTGCGTTGACTCCGGAGCAAGCACAAACCCCAGCTCCCTATAGCAAAGCTCTGCTGCTGTGCTGGAGGTGTTCATTAATGGAAACCCTTTACAAGAGACTGGACAGACTCAGCCAGCAATAACTCACACAGGCTTGCTCCTAATTCCATGATTCATTCATTGACTGCTGCCAAGGAGAGAGCATTCCTGGTCTTCAGTTGTTGTTAAGAACGTAGAAGGAAAGGTACAAATTGTGTGAGACGAGCTCATTTGCTTCGGGACAAAACAGCCCCTGAAAACTGCCTCCGAGCCTATTTCGTGTGTGTGCTTCTGAAGTAATTGATTTGAGGTTTTTTGAGCTTCTCAAAGGGAACTGTGCCTTTTTTTATAGCGCTGCATATGAGGAAGATGAAAGTCATTTGTATCAAATGCTCTGTTAAAAGCGCTCCATCTTTGTGACACAGGACACGAATTCGGGCATGGTTAATAAAGCCAAAGACAAGCCAGAGGCTGCAGAGCAGGTACTCACCCCCCTCCATGGTCTGGTTTCAGAGATGCAGGCACAAGGTTAGTAAGAGCATCGCATGCTCCAGCGCAGCCTCCCCACGCCGCAGCTCCTGCCAGAGACCCTCTTTGGGATACTCTCTTTTATACTTCCTGCACCCCTGCAAGCTCCCGGCACGCCCCGGTGTCACTGACACTCACTGGACCCTCCTCCTCCTCCTCCTCCTCATGCTTTCAGCAGCACGGGAGAGCCGTGCTCGGTGCCACGCTGCCGTCACACGCTTGGGGGTTCAGGTACTTCCTCAGTGCCTGCACCGCGGCACACGCGGTGTGCTGACACCCATCAGATGGAGTCATTGCAGGGACAAGAGGGAAGTCTGCTCCCTTGTCATCTCTCCTCTCCGTCCACATGGCAGACCCTGAGAAGGGCATGAGAGAAGGTGTTCAACCACCACACGAAACACCTCTGGGTGCAGGAGTGCCAGTGGCCACATCCTTCACTGCTCTCCCACCTGCTTGCAGCATCCTCTGCAAGGCAAGTGGCTTCAGCCAGACATCACCTTGTGAGTGGTCTCTTTCCCACACACTAAATGCTATGGCCAGTAAATTCGGTAGTCCGTGGCTCTTGAGGAAAGGAAACACTTCCCTGTTGGGAAAAGCCAATTTGTTCTCCTCTAGCATAGTTTAGTGCTGGAAGATCTGAAGATTTGTTGTTGTTAGAAATAACAAGATTACAGTGGAATGTTTCTATTTGAATTACTTTAAGATACCATAATGGCCAACCACAGCCAAAACAGGAGATTCAAGTATGGAAGAGTCTGATCCTAAACCTACTGATCGCCTTGCCCTGAACACCAACTGCTTCAGCATGAAGCCAAGTCTTTCCCTCCCTAGCTCTCTCAAGCCCAAATTAAATACACCTGAAGTGGAGGAGCCTGTGTAAACCCATCCACAGCCCAGCTGGCACTTAAAAACCTCCTCAGTGCTCCCCTCTCAGTGGGGCCATCACTGCTGTGGTTCTGATCCCATTCTGGGGTGCTTCATGGGCAGGATGCTGGCACTTGGAGGTTTATCAGGGTTTTTATCTGGTGCCACAGGAGGTGCCCTGCGCTGCCCTTCGCGCTCCCAGCGCACATCACTGCCTTCTCTTACGGTGTGAGAAGCACGCTCGCTTCTTGCTTATCTCCACAGGCACACGCAGTTCGCATCTCTGAGAGTCTATTTATTGCTCTGTTTGCTCTTTGTTTGTCGATTATCCAGGCAGGTACTGCCTGAGAGAGCTTTATCTTGTAACCGCTTCCGCCAAGCGGGACTGGAGATGAAAGACTTCTCTCAGGTACAGGCAGAATACTTGGAAATGGTGGGTGTAAAGCTTTGAACCGAAGCCTTGGTGCTGGCTGTGGAGCGGTGGGTGTGTAGGCACCGGCACCCAGCACTCACTGCTACAGGGGGAGAGGCGGCGTCTGGCTGAATCCATCCACAGCGAGACAGAATCCACCCGAGCCAGACAGGGAGAGAAAGCAGCCAAGCAGCTGGTTGTACTTTGTTTTCTGCTCAGACTCCCAAGCTTTAACTTCAGCGTTTCAGGACGTGCCAGGTTCTGTGCTGTCGGAGCCAACCCAAGCAAATTGTTTTCCCTAAAAAAAGAATGGGAATATTTTAAAATAAACAATTTACTCTGTCTTTATGACACTGAATCTTCTTGTGCAGTCATGTCTCACACCTAGGGAGTTCTCAAAGCGGTTATTAAAGCTTTGCTTAATGTGATCGTGTGTATTTGCAGTCTACTTCGTGCCTTGGTGATCCTGTCTCTTTGGCATATTCCCTTTACCATGTGCATCCCGTGAGTAACTGGCAGTGCCAGGCCTGAGCTGTGCCTAGGAAAGCCACACTGGGCTGGTTGCTCACCAGAACACATTCGTTACCCTAAAGTTAAATTAACAATTAACTATGTATATACAGTTAGAAGTACATATCTATATATATGTAAATATGGAAGCCAAGTGACCAGATATTTTCAGTCTTATATTAGAAACTCTGCTCACCTCCACTGCAGGAAGGGTGGGAACCAGCAGTGAGAACCTGCTGCCCAGCTCACAGCACTTGGACCTGGATGGCAGCTGTTCGTCAATGTGATTTCTCAAAAGCAAATGCAGTTCCTAATGAATTCCCCAGGAAGTTAGCTCAGAAAGAAGGAATTCAGTTCAGGTTGGTTCCACTTCATCTGAAACACTGAATTTGCTGAACTGAATCGAAACAAGTAACGTGGAATTGAGCTGACGTGAAATTGTAGCTCGTTCAGCAATGAAATATCTCATGGGAACCTGTGTGATGTACATCTGTGTGTAAGACTGGACTGCCTGCAGTCTGTCCCCCAGCTAAGTCACTCGGACAAGCCAAGATGGAAAGGATCCCAGTGCTGAGGAGACGGTGCCTGGCCAGCCTGGGCTGTGTGATCTTAGAAAGCAGAACTGCTGAGGCTCTGGTGTACGGTTCATTCTGAGGAGAGCATGGCACGGGGTGGTTTTGCATCCTGAACTCAAACCCTGCCTGTATTTTCCACTGGTTTTCTATAAGTGAATCGAGATGAAACCAGCCCCAAAAGGCGCTTGCCCAGCGGTGGCGGGTCCAGGTGGGCGCAGCTGCTCTCACCCGGGTCAGCACACTGGTTTTGCATACAAGTAAAAGCATCCCACTTCAAACCCATGTATCGCAGGTCCCTTGCAATCTGCTGACCTGTCCTTCTCTTGCCTTGCACCCTGCCACAGGACAAGATGCTATGGAGCTCCCAGGGAAGCACCAGCTCCATCCCCCTGCTCCCTGCTCTGCTGTTCTGCTCCATCACTGACCTAAAGCACCAGGAAGGGTTTCTCCCCTTCGCTAGAGGAAGCCAGAGTCACCCGGACAGAAGCATTGGTAAGTCAAGGGTGAACCTTATTCAACTGCCCACTTCCCAGTAACATCCCTCCTCTTACGTCAAGGAGGGGCACTGATGTCTTCTCTGCTCTTAGTTTTGCCCAGCAGTGACAAAACAAGACCTTGGGATCTCCCATGTCCAGCTTTGCCTCCTGCCCAAACATCCCCCTCAGCTCCCCAGCTACTGAGCTGGCATTTGGGAGGCACACAGGGAGAGTTTGCGTGCTGATGTCAGGAGGTTTGCCTGGGGAAGGAGCTCCAACCCAGTTGTCCTTCAGGCAAAGAAAATAGCAGAAGTTAAAACTATGAGTAAATTCCTGACATTAAGAGCAGCCCGAGCTGGGAATCCTCACCAAGAGGAGCTCTTAGAGTGGTTGTAGGGGGATGCCCTGAAAAACATCTCATGATTGTGATCTCCCCGCGAGGTTAATAAAAGATCCTTATCCTCCCAGCAGAGGAAGCAATCAGTGCAGCGGGCAGGCTCCTCTCAGCGATGTGCAGTTGCCCATGGTGCCGGTTATGCAGCCGCAGGAGGGCAGGGCTCACGCTGGGTGCTGCTGGGAAGTCAGCTTCCCCCTGCCTGCGTCACGCCACGGGTGATGGCCTTTCTCCCCAGTTTATTTTTGGAGCAGAAAAGCAGAAAAGGGGCAGTTTTAGGCGACCGGCATCTGCTCCGCACTGAGGCAGCTTCCCAGCAGTGCAGGAGCTGAGCCATGAGGAGGGAAACGTACTCAGAGATGGAGATGGAGGCTGGCAGAGGCACAGCCCCTCTGCTTGCTACCCCTGGCCCCTACCCCCCTGTTCTGGTGGCTCCTCTGTGCCCTCAGCCCAGGCTTGGTGGCTTCCTGGGAGATCTGCTTCAGTTTGTGCCCACGCCACCAGGGCCGTTTGTACACGGAGGGGCCTGTGATGAACAAACAGATCCTTTCTGGCCTGGGCTAATGTGAGGGACAGTGCAGGCCCCAGGATAACGGGTGGGGAAAGGAGAGGAGATAAGAAGTAGGAAGGAAGTGGTCCACGGCCATTGGTTATGTCTAGAGAGTGTTTTGAAGCCTTCCCTGTTCTTCATTCCCTAGTGAGCAATGACTTGTTTAGGGAGATAAAGAGAGAGCATTGGGTCTCCTAAAGAAAACTGAGGGTTAAAGCATCTGCTGGCTGTACAGGGAGCATCCTTCCTGCAAGCTGATGTTACCGTGTTCAGAAGGTGCAAGATTGAGCACCAGTCTGCTGCTGTCTTTGAAAGCAAGCTGGATTTAGAAACAGGGAATAACCACGTCAGTGGTTTCTCCAAGAGCAGCTCATCCGGCCGCCTCTGTCACACACCTGGGATTCTTCATCCCTGGCCTTAGGAAATGATCATAAACAAATCCCATTTGATTTTTCACTCTGTTGTTACTATCACTCTTTCTGGAATTGGTGCCAGGATTAAAGGAGCTTTTCCTTGCCTTCTTAATAGAATTGAGTGAAAAAAGGGGCAAATTGAAAGTAGCTGTTTACAGAAACTACAGACTTCTCAAAGTCACAAGTGAGGCTGTACGTGATGATTTACACCAAAATAAGACACCAACCCGATAACTGCAAAACCACTTCAAAAAACCCCTCGAAGGCTGTGGAAAAAAAAGCATCAAAGTGAAAGAAGGGAACTGAGAACAACAAGAGAGGGACTTAAACCAGAGCAGGATCCCTGCTCTCAAGCCATCAGCGTAGTAGCTGTTCTCCACTTGGTTATCCAAGATGCCAAGAGAGCTTCAAGCTGATTCCTAGCCTCTGCTAAAGTTGTACCAGCATCTATTACAGCACCCACAGCATCTATCACAGCACCCAGACCTGCGTTTCTCTGCCCAGGCATGCAGTAGCAGTCATTGGGAGCTGACAACAAAGGCAAGGCTCAAATCCGGAATTCCCTGCTCCATCTGAACTGTGATAAGAACTGTTCTGACAGCGGCCGGTTCCTGAACACCGCACACTTGTCGGTCCCTTTTCCCAACAGTGCCAGGACTTCTTCCTAAGATCCCATCTCAATCTCCCTCTCCCAGTTCAAAGCCATTATTTCTTTTCCCTGAAGTGTCCAAGGATATACTGATAAATTCACTTGCACAGACTAAAGTGGATTAGTTAAACCATATTAAGCCCACACAAAGATCACTCTTACTGGGAGTTAACATGATCTTGATTCAGTTTATATCTTAATTCACATTGAAAATTAAATGAGTGCAGCTATAAACTCCCC